TGAAAAATGAAATGGCTTTTGATAACATTTTCATTACCCATGAATTATACCCCTGGCTTACTTTTCATGGGAAAGACAGAGACATATCCACCATGAAAATTTAGTCTCAAACTATTCTCGACTGTTAAATCAAATACATCACTGAGGATTTGTTGGTTGGTTAATTTGAAGCTATATACATGTAGCAACAACCCTAACTCTAAATAAAAGCTAACCGTTTTTCGAGTCAGTGCTTAACCCTAATTACTATTCTCAGGGCTTACGTAAAAAAGAATCTTCAGTCTGCACAGTTTGCAGTCTGCATTTTAACATGACTGCACTTTAGTATGGTGTACTACAATGTAAATAAGGCCATTGATGACAAAAAAAAGTATCATTGCAATACAAAATTCATCTGGAATACATGTACATACAAGTAGTACTGTATCTCCTTTCCAGGCTGCAATCATGACGTTCCAAATTTCACCATTGAAAATGAACAACAATTTTCAAGGGTTCCATCCTATTTAGTTTGGACAAGTTTCAATGAAATAAAAAAGCTCATTTTCAAGGCCAATACAGATGTTTATTTTAAGTAATAGCAAATGAACAGCTGTACAAGACAAATCATTTAAGTGAAAACTAAAGTTGTTGTGTTACAATAACAACAAAATGTAAATCTTATCTTTGGTCCCTGTTGTTGCCTCAGCCATCAGATCCATCTGGTACGTACAATAAATATTGAAATGCAGCAACATCTAAACAAAATTAACAGCAGAATACAGGTCAAGATTTCATGTAGAATATTTGATCCATCCTTAAGTAATAAAACAACGGTTTTAATGATGCAAGCCACACAAAAGGATATCATTTTTAAAATAGTCGATTCATGAAATATATGGATAAGCAGGCTTTGTTAGAAGTCAAGCTGGCTTTTTTGCTCTACTGCATCTCTAAAATTCCCCTATGTCTTTGTTTTGGTTTGCAAATTCAGCTGGTGGTAAGCTCTTTTTCAGCTGGTTGAACTAGCCGGCAGCCAGCTCTTAACGACATCCCTGCTAGCCTGTGTACAGACCACCCCCTCCCCTTAGTAAAAATCGGAGAAGGGACTTCTGTGATTCACTGTTGCTAATCGTGTATGGGAATAACTTTGCATAAATTAAAAAAATAGTTTCTGCTGACCAAAATTTCCATGGCTCATGTTTCATGTCATTCCAGTTCTCAAAATGTCAGTGCATGCGTCTTATTTCCATCGAGCAACTGAGAGAGTGAGACATTTTTAAAATAGGATTACTCTATACCGAGCAAGAAAAATGTTCTTGCAAGCCCTTATTGAAGGAAAAGATCCATGTTGTTATGCAAGCCTTCCCACTGGATATGCCGTTAGCTTGAAATAAAGTGTTGACAAGTCAGAGATGACTAACGAGCTCATGATAGTGTGAAACGTGACCTTAGCATTATGTTTTGCTTGAGTTTTGATGACAGGCCCTAAAGCCAATCAAAATCCCTCAATTACATGATGTACACACTGTAGTGATCTACAAATAACAGCCAATCAAATCATTTTCCACATACAGGAAAAATTAAGTGGCCTCCATGCACAATTACCAATGGTGAATCACAGACGTCCCTTCTCTGATTTTTACTGAGGAGAGGGGGCGCTTGTACACAGGCTATATCCCTGCTTACCCTGCCATGATTGTAAACAATCTGCTTTTTAAAATACATACATGTAATATTTAACTACTGTTTTACGGTTGTCAGGTTTGTTGAAATGAATTTTGAACAGTTCCATCAGCAGAGCCAACCATATAAAATAGCACACTGTAGTTCAACTTTTCTACCCTAGCTAAACCAGCTACAGTAGTGCAGACAAAGATCAACTTCTTCCCCTATTAAAAAAAAAATCCCTTACTTTGAGGGAAAATAATATGCTTTAGTGCTTAATGATCAGAACAACGGAGTAATGGATCAGTCAATTACAGCTGCGCCCAGCGCCCCCCCCCCC